TAATTTGGTGAAGGAATCAATTAAAAATAATACAGGGTGTTCAAATAAACGAGAATCAAAATGGTATCGCTAATAAAAGGCTACCCTGTACTAAATAATAATAAATAATAATAAATCTATTTGATATGTGTAGGTGGATATTACAATAATTTTATAAAAATGAGTACACTAATCAATAAATTAAATTATTTATCTTAGAGTTTTATACAAATTATAAAAGTTTGAGTGCTTTCTCAAACATGTACTCATACTGTACTGTAAATTATTTAAAGGTTTTATTGCAGTCATACTTAACTCCAAGGATTTAGTAAGTCCCGGGCTTATTTACAAATTCAATGCAAGGTTTTCAAATAAATTCTGTTGAAATCATACCTGGGTAGAATTTAGAAACTATTTGTCAATTCATACTGTATCATAAATATTTACTGAATTGCATGTGATTTATGCATGTGTCTGTGAATTCTGTAAACATGTTATTTTAAATAAAATTAATTTAGATTTTTAAATTTTCTAATAATTAAACCTGGCCGTGAAATTAGTTTACTTTGAAGCTAGTTCACGGTTATTTTATTTCACGGAATATTCTGTTCTAAAAGTAACCCAAGTAACACTTTACCATTAAAATATTTCTCGCATTTATGAATCATTTTAAACTAAAACTTTAAATTTCTAATTAAAAATTGTGAAAACAACTTTTTGCGAAACATCTTTACAGTTAAACAGACATTAAAAAATAAAAATTTTAAACAGAATTATAAAACTTGATTGTCATGGTACATTTCCTAACACAAAACATTTTTAATGATTAACCAATCGGATTTTATTAAGTCAACTTCAGTTACATTATACTAAAACTCGTATCAATAATATTATATTATTAACTAATTATATTAACTATATTATAGTATAACACAATTGAGTATAGTCTTGTACTGCCTATTTCTAAAATATTTTCAATGTTTATCTACAAAATGTGGTTAGATTGGCAATTGTTTTACCTCGCATTCATATTATCAATAATACAATTATATATGTAAGTATTATTTTTAGTTATAGAAACATAAATTAAGTGTAATAATCTATACTGTGACTAATAATAAAAAGTAATAACTAATAATCTAATTTAATTAATTTTAGGTATTTTACCCGAGGGTTTAGCTACTGGTGCAAACAAGGCATTAATGGACCCATGCCGCTACCTATATTTGGTAATTATCTGCACCTGATAATTAACTTTCAATTCATCCAGGAACGAAACTGGTATCAAAAATATGGCAAAATATACGGGTATTAATTATTTATTTTTAAAATAGAGATAATAAAAATTCTTATTTAATTCAAATGCAACATAATTTTACTTGATAATTAAATTAATAAAATTTTTATATTATAATTTATATAAATACAAATAATTAACTTTATTGTTTATTAGTAACTAAATTTATTTAGTAATTATATTGGTCTATTATAGATTGCATTTCATTAACGTACTACATTTCATTCATTACTACATTACATTACATTACATTACGTACTACATTACATTACGTACTACATTACATTTCATTCAAAATTTCTGTGAATTAAATTCTGCCGTAAAGTATTCATTGAAATATTGTAACTTAAAATAATACTACAATATTAAAAATCATATCATTTTAAAGCTTTGTTTTCAAACAGTAAATCAAAAAAGAAATGATTTCAATTGGATGTGTAATCAATAAATAATGACTAATAAACGAGAGGTAGTCCTCAACCCCTTTTTGACATCAATGCAAAAACGCATTATAAAAATGTATGTGTTTTAGAGTTTTGACAAAACGCACTCTCCTTGCAATGTTATTCAATGGGAAACTCTCGCAAACCCCTTATCAGAACTACCTCTCGTTTATTAGTCATTATTTATTGATTACACATTCAATTGAAATCATTTCTTTTTTGATTTACTGTTTGAAAACAAAGCTTTAAAATGATATCATTTTTAATATTGTAGTATTATTTTAAGTTACAATATTTCAATGAATACTTTACGGCAGAATTTAATTCACAGTACGTTATCTAAATTGGAATTAATATTATATTAATAGATTAACTAGTTTAAACTAGCTATACCAGTATTTAATAGAAAATATTATATTGGTAAACATGAATGATTAGGCAATTTTGTACAATAACATATTTAAATGCAACAACATCTAATTTTATTTTATTATTATTATTATTATTATCTTAAAATGAAAATAATGATCTGTAGACATTACATTGGTCAAACTCCAATACTGACCGTTGGCGACCCTGAGCTAATCAAGAGCATCCTGGTGAAAGATTTTCACATATTCTCCGATCGCTCAAACGTCAGAAAAGCAAACAATTTCATAAACAGAAGTAATTTGTTTCGTTTGACTGGCGATGACTGGAAACGGGTCCGGAGTATAGTGTCGCCAACATTTAGTTCCGGCAAAATGCACAAAATGTACCCAAAAATTCGGGAATGTGTCGGCGATCTGATGAACCACTTGGAAAGCCTGACACTCACTAATAGGGAAATGGATGCAAAACTAATCTTTGGTAGCTATACCATGGATGCGATAGCTACCTGTGCATTCGCTATCAAGACTAATATATACGGCAACCCTGATAATCCGTTTTTGACAAATGCTGTCCATACGTTTGAGCCCAATATCGTGCAAGAGTTGGCAACACTACTACTGCCCACAACTGTCATGAAATGGTTGCAGAAGTTTATGAAGAAAAATACGACCATTTTCTTCGTGAAAGCTATTCAAGAGGTGATCCGAAAACGAG